GAAGATTGTCTCTTTCCTGTTCCCCATCCAGGTGCACATTAGTTGTCAGCATTTTGATATATTAATTGATAGATGAAACCTCAGCAAGGGAAGAAGACTTCTTTCTGACTGATACTAGATAACTAACTTAAACTTGGTTTAGAAAGCTTTTGGTGATGCTACACACCTTGTATGTCAGGATTCTGGCAGCAGCAGCAGCAATAATGACCTTGAATTATCTCATGTAAGAAGTGGTCTGAAGATTGATATTCCAAAGCTGGTGCAACAGAGATCCAGCCTTTTCTCCATTGATCTTTGAGTGCAGACTTCCCTCTCCCTCCCTGTTTCCTCAACAGATAGCAAGGTTACTGCTACATAGCTCCAAGGCTTTCAAAAGCAGTAAGCTGGCAGGCCCAGAGCAGAAAAAGATATTTTATCAACAGAAGGAAAAAAAAATGTGTTGCAAAGCCTTCCACCATAGTTCTTTCTTTTATTTAATCAGAGAGAACTTGGGGGGCTAAGAAAGCTACTATCCAGCAAAAGGCAATGGGATTACCATTATGAATCACTAATCCTGATTCATGCCCTGGGCTTGCTAGCTTCCCTGAGTTAAGACATCTCTGCCACATACAGGTACACCAAATCAGGGCTCTGTAGATAAGTAGGAGAAGGAAGGAATGGCTAACCAATAGGCAGTGAACAGTGTGTGCTATATATAAAAGTGAGTCTTCATTGGGCAGTGATAGTACTGATTGCTATATTAGGATATCTGAAGTGGCAGTGCTATGAAAATCTGATGATGGTGGTGATCATCATTCAGCAATGAATACTTAAGCTCACTGGAGAAAAGGCTGGATACTGAGCTTCTATGTGCCAGGCAATTGTCAAAGGAGAGGTCTGAGCTGCAGATACAAATTTGGAAGTTATTAGCATATACATGGTATTTAGATTTGAAGGGACTGATATACTCTCTCTTGATCAAAACAACCAAAATAATGTGATGGTAATGTAAGAATAAAAAAATATAGGCCTGGTGTAGTGGCTCACACTTGTAATCCCAGCACTTTGGGAGACCAAGGTGGGGAATTGCTTGAGACCAGGAGTTGAAGATCAGCCTGGGCAACATAGTGAAATCCTGTCTCTACAAAAAATAAATAAATTATCCAAGTGTAGTGTGCACCTGTAGTTCCAACTACTCGGAAGGCTGAGATGGGAGGATCACTTGAGCCCAGAAATTTGAGGCTGTGGCAAGTTATGATCACACCACTGCCTTCCAGCTTGGATGACAGAGTGAGATCCCATCTCTATTTTTAAAAAAAAGAAAGAAAAAAAATCTGGTACTACAGAGTGCCTATTTGGTAGGTACTTTTTTTTTCTTTTTTTAAAATAGACTTTATTTTTTAGAGAAATTTTAGGCTCACAGGAAAATTGAGTAGAAGGTACTAAGATTTCCCATAACCCCAACCCTTAAGACATGCATATTCTCCCCTGCCATCAACATCCCCCAACAGTGTGGAGACCTACATCAACACATCATTATCACCCTAGGTCCTTAGAGGATTTGTGACTCAGATGTGTCATGGCTCAGGAAATATTTTAGGTTCTCTGATGACACTTTGGGAGGGAGAGAGTTTTGGTAGCCCAGGATCATCTCTGCTTAACTTTTGTTTTCTTCACACATGTCTAATACTATTTTTTGACCATCCTTGGTTCTTGCTTTTGCTTTCAGAAAACAATACCAAGGTGTAAAGTAGATGGGCCAACAAGAGTGGAGCTAGCTGGTACCAATTACCAGTGCCCAGTGGACTGGAAGAGGGCTCACCAGTGAGTTATGTCCAATCAGGACCAGTCCAATGCCAATGTGAAGAATTTCTGCTATTCCACTTTTGCTGTGTGGACCTGAAAAATGTTTTCAGTAGTGTCTGAATTTCTTCCTACTGACCTGTAAACAGTATTTTTTGGGATTTCAGCTGTTTATTATCTGTAGCATTTGGGATTTGGAGAGTGGGATATAATTAAAATGGGTGGATAATTCACTAATCTCCGTTTAGCCTTATTAATGATATAAATCCTCTACCAACTCTATCCAAAAGAACTGGAGTCTTCTTATCTCTCTCTCTTTTTAATCTCTTGTCACCCTGTGATAATACATTGTTACCATACTATAATTATTACTGAGTGTTCACTTGATGCCATTCATTATTTCTAAGTGCTTTATGTATTAACTACTTTAATCTTCACAGCAACACAATGAGGTTTATCATTCCTACTTGATAGGTGAGCAAACTAAGGCCCCAAGAGATTGGATAATTTGTCCAAGGCCAGATACTTAAAAGTGGTGGAGCCAGAATACAAAGCTGCAGGCTAAGGATGATGAAGTACTACCTTACCTGACAAGCAGTGGGAAGGGAAAGGCTCCATAGTTCAATAGAATTAGTAATTTATGGTAGTTTGTTTCATTTAAATAGAAAGTTCAAATGAGTCCATTTCATGTCATAGGCTATATAGCTCTTTTTTCTCTCTGTGTGCTTCTCTCTGTGTATATGTTGAAGGCCTTTTAAACTCTAATACACAATGGATTATGTCTGACCACTGTTAGAGAAGTTTGTAAGAAAATCATTAGCTGTTTTCTCAACAGAGAAATTAAACGAATGTGTCTGATGCTCACTTTAGTGTTTGTTTTTAATAAGGCCCTAAAGAGACCTAGTGTCACAGGAACAAGTAGTTATAGAAAGTTTGCTACCGCCTTTTTCCCCCAAATAGAAATTTCTCCCCTGCCACTTTTTATTATAAAAATTAGTAAAGCACATTGCAAAGACCTTAAGTAAAATGCTGTCACTCATTACCCATGTTTAACTTTACACAATTGGAAATAAAGTGTACATCTTTCTTGATACTATTCTTGATCTGTAAACACACAAGAAATTAGAATCTACTTTTTACATGCCACATTGTATCTTGGATCATTGATGTAAAACATATGCTTATTGAGGGTTGTGGTCATATGAACTTAAAAACCCCTGAATTAACTCATAATGACAGCCTCATAACATCTTGAGGTTTTTGTGTCATATTCTAAAAAGGCTGTTTAATTTCCTAGGTATGTCCTGAGAGTTACTTCCTTTCGAAGTACATAGTAGGTACTACGTAGTAGGTAGTTTAGTCATGGAATGCTTTGGTCTGCAAAGTGAAATATAACTATGTCTCCACTTTATCCAGGATACATATATATAAAGCAAGATTTTATTATACAAATAACTAAAAAATCCACTCAAATATAAATAGATAAGCCATACTCTACTAATAAAGCACAGGGTGGGGGGGGGAGACATATGTATGAACAGGTACTGTGTTCTTTGGTTAACATGCTTGCCTGTGCTTTTTCTTTGTTTTCCTATTACGTTAGTTAGCTTCTATCTTGGATCTAATACATAGACTTAGTTCACACATTACAAGCCATTATTTTATAATCAACTCTCTTACGTTCATTTTGTATGATTCTTGTACTTTTTTTTTTTTTGAGTCAGAGTCTCACTCTGTCACTCAGGCTAGAGTGCAGTGGCACTCTCATGGCCACTGCAGCCTCAATCTGCTAGGCTCAGGCGATCCTACCACCTCAGCCTTCCAAGTAACTGGAACTACGGATGTGTGCCACCACGTCCAGCTAATTTTTCATGATTTATTTAGAGATGAGGTCTTGCCAAATTGCTCAGGCTGGTCAAACCCCTGGGCTCAGGCTATTCTTTTGCCTCAGCCTCCTAAAGTATTGGTATTACAGGTATGAGCTACTGTGCCCCGCCCGATTCTTGTACTCAAAGTGAAAGTTTTTTGCCCAGTCTTGAAGTTCAAAGCAACATTCGCTTTATTACTCTGTTTTTGTCTTCCTTATTAGCAATCATCTTTTTCAGCTATATCATTCCCCTTTGGTTATTTTCTTAAAACACACATGCATAACACGTGTGCACACACAGCTGCCTCTAACTTTACAAGGGCTTTCTTAGTAACTCAGTGTGATTAAGCAGACTGTCTCTTTAGGGGAGCTGATTTCAGGGAGTAGTCAGTGTATTTTCAGTAGGTAACCTATCTCATGGGCTAAACAAGATTCAGATTTCTTCTAGTTTACTGTTTCAGTCTAGCTCAATTATGGTAAATATCCAGATATATGTTAGGAAAGGATAAGAAATTGCAGAGCTGCAGGCTTAGAAGGAAGACATTCCTAGGACTGGAGAAAATTTCTGTGATTGAGAAGTAAAAGATTATTTTTAAATAATAATTATTTTTAAATAATCTAGCACAGGCACTGCTGTTAATTTGCTAAGCACTTGTCTTCATGCAACGTTGTCGAGATTTAATGTGGAAGCATTGCAAGTTTCAGCAAGTAATTTCCATCCATTTGCAGAATGAATTTTGTTTAAGCAATAGTTAGGGTTGGGAAAGTCATGTTATTAGCTGATCGAGGGAGGAAAGTTCACAGCCTGAGGATCAAATAACGACAGCCTTAACTAAATGGACACCATGATGTTTGTTTTCACCTGTTTCTTGTAAAGTATGTTGTAGACTTGAGGCAGTGCCTGACCTATGTTCTAAAAGTTGTTTTATGGGAAATTCCTGCTCACCTATGAGGTGCCTCAGTTATCAAAAGGACGTAAGCACCTAGTTACCTGAGAGAATTCTTCGCAATTGGCAGGACCCAGCTTGGGAGTGGGGGCTGCTCTACTTCTCAGTTGCTGTCTCCTGGGGTTTGGGTAGAGGTTCTAGCAGGGTGGATGGACATCCAGGGGCAGTGACAGCTAGTGCTGGTTTCAGTGCCCAGAAGACTGGAAACAAGTGGATATAGCGACTTGTCCTGATATCTGCACATGGCTTCCAGTCTTTGTGTTGTATTCTTGCATCTAGTGATACGATACCTACATAGCCTGAATCTCAGTGGTATTGGAGGACAAGTTGTGAAAGTATAATGTTTGAAAATGTTTCATTGAGGTCTTACTAAATGAAATACTTTCTCTTGTATTGCCTTTTAGAATTAAAGCCATAGAGAGCCCCAACAAAGAAGATGACACCCAGTGGCTGACCTACTGGGTAGTGTATGGTGTGTTCAGCATTGCCGAATTCTTCTCTGATCTCTTCCTGTCATGGTTCCCCTTCTACTACATGCTGAAGGTGGGTTGGTTTCTGCACTGCTTTATTTCCTTCCATATATGGATTTGCTTTGCTCCCTACCACTAAAACTCCTGAATACAAGTAATAGGAACAAATGCTTGAATGTTGTACACCTGTGGCTCCGTTTCAGCTATAAACAAGAAGACAGAATTTGATGTGTCTTCCTTCCTTTGTATACTGTCTTAGAAACAGTCAAAACAATTGTGTGTTCAAGATGTATTTGATAATAAAAAGTGGAAATTCTATGACCTAGCACAGGCACTGCTGTTAATTTGCTAAGCACTTACCTTCATGCAACGTTGTCGAGATTTAATGTGGAAGCATTGCAAGTTTCAGCAAGTCATTGCTTATTCACGGTGGTGAGCAGAAGCCATTATATCTGGAGTAGAAATACTTATTTCTTATATGAACTTGAAGCAAGAAGGTATGCAGTAGGCTCTCTGGGGAAGTCACTTTTAATAACTTTGGCAGTTGCAATAGTCAGAGAGTTTGGATCCTTTTCCCTAAATGAAACAAGCGATCTTCAGTCAATTCCTCAAAGGTCTTCCAGTGAAGAGGCTCTGCTTCGAGTTAGTTGACATGTTCCCAACCCCTGGGCCACAGACTGCTAGCAATCTGTGGCCCATTAGGAACTGGGCCACATTGCAGGAGGTGGAACTTCATCTGTATTTCTAGCTGCTCCCCATCACTCGCATTATCGCCTCCTGTCAGTTCAATGGCAGCATTAGATTATCATAGGAGCGCAAACCCTATTGTGAACTATGCATGTGAGCAATCTACGTTGCACACTCCTTATGAGAATCTAATGCCTGATGATCTGAAGTTGGTGCTGAGGTGGTGATGCTAGCTAGCAGTGTCACTTCATTTAGTAGTGAGGGTTGATTGCACATTCTCCCTTCTCCCTCCTCCCATCCCTGTCCTTGAAAAAATTGTCTTCCGTGAAACCAGTCTCTGATGTCAAAAAGGTTGGGGATTGCTGATGTAAACAGTGCTTTCACACAAAGCCAGATGTGAGAGCTGGATAAACTGGAGAGGGTGGTAGGAATTCTGGGTTCTCGTCTTCCCCTTCTTACCTTCTGTTGGTATTCATTTTAGTTAAAGCTGCAAATGACATCATCTAAAGGTTCAGATAGTCCTATAAGATTTTTTTAAAAAGACAGCATTTCTATACCTTGCCCTTATATACTGCCTTCCTTAAAAGTAACCACTGTCACTTCATTTATGGCAGTTTATTGTACATCATACTTTTAGATAGGTAAACATTCACCACTTACAGTATTATACCTTTGAATATGGTAGTCAGTTGACCATATTGTGTACATGTAGTGTTCTTGCACAGTTTTTTATCTCCCTGGAACTAATAGTTGTTTTGCTATTTGTATATTAAGGCCTATTTCAGTTTGTCCTACTTATTCTGCATTTCTGTGTACTTTCTTTTTAAATTTTTATTTTTTATTTTATATTTTTTCTTTTTATAGAGATGGGATCTTGCTATATTGTCCAGGCTAGACTCAAACCCCTGGGATCATGGTGATTAACCTGCTTCAGCCTTCTGAGTAGTGGGACTACAGGCACGTGCCACCATGCCTGGCTACATTTTTTTTTTTTGAGTTGGAGTCTCACTCTGTCGCCCAGACTGGAGTGCAGTGGCCGCTCCCGGCCACCGCAGCCTCTACCTGCTGGGCTCCGGCGATCCTTCCACCTCAGCCTTCCGAGTAGCCTGAATTACAGGCATTTTTTTTGATTTATTGTAGAGATGAGGTCTCATCTGATTTTTTGATTTATTGTAGAGATGAGGTCTCGCTGCCCAGGCGGGTCTCGAACCCGCGGGCTCAGGCAATCCACTCACCTCAGCCTCCCAAAGGCGCGGGATTACAGGCTGAGCCACCGAGCCCGGCTTACATTTTTTTTTTAAGTTGAAGTCTCACTCTGTTGCCCAGGCACACTCATGGCCACTCCAGCATTGACCTGCTGGGCTCTGGAGATCCTTCCGCCTCAGCCTTCTGTGTAGCCAGAACTACAGGTGCATGCTACCATGCCCAGCTAATTTTTTATTTGTTGTAGAGATGTGGTTTCGTCAAGTTGCCTGGTCTGGTCTCAAATCTGCAGGCTCAGGCAGTCCACTCACTTTGGTCTCCCAAAGTGCTGGAATTACAGGCTGAACCACCGAGTCTGGCCTTGGCTACACTTTTAAAATATTTTATCTAGCTGAGCACGGTGGCTCATGCCTGTAATCGCAGCACTTTGGGAGGCAGAGGCAAGAGAATTGCCTAAGCCCAGGGGTTCGAGACCAGCCTGGGCAACTTGGTGAGACTTCATCTCTACAATAATTCAAAAAATTAGCCAAGTGTGGTGGTACATGCCTATGGTTCCAGCTACTTGGAAGGCTGAGGTGGAAGGATCACCTGAGTCCAGCAGGTTGAGGCTGTGGTGGCCATGAGCGTGCTACTGCACTCTAGCCTGGGTGACAGAGTGAGACTCCTACTAAAAATAAATAAATAAATGAATGAATAAATAAATAAATTGTATTTAAAGATAAATCATACAGACATAGGATTATATAGATATATGAAATTAGATATAGGAAGTTCCTTCACCCCAGCCAGCATCACATTGATATCTTGATTTTTAATTCTGGATAATTATGGATATATTTTCTTTGGTTTCAGCTGTTTTTTTAAAATCTATTTAATTGTACTTTGTTCCTTCTTCTGCAGAGACTTCTCAGTCTGATCTTCCAATTTTCAAGTTTGTTCCATGGTTATATATCCATTCTCTTATTCATGCTCTGTATTGTGTTCTTCATTTCAGCTATAACTTTTTCATGCCTAATGTTTTTGCTTGGCTCTTTTCTGTGTTTTCTTGTTCTTGTTTCATATTGCTAATATTTTCTGGTTTTTGTGTATGTGTGTGTGTGTGAGAAAGCAGGATTTATTGAGCAGACAGAAAAGCTCCCTCAGTGGGAGGGGACCCAGAGTCTGGGGTCGAAAACCTGGTGTTTATGTAGCCCTGAGTCTAAGCTGATTGGCTAGCACTAGCTGTGAGCTGTAGCTGGTCAGTATTAAGGACAAATCGGCAGGAGGTAGGGGCCTAATGGTGAGCTGATTGGTTGCTTTTTGACCCCAGCAGTGAGTACTTAAAAGTTTTAGCTTGAGAGGCTCACAGGGAGCTTGTTTACCAACATCGAGCCTGAGAGGCCTGCTGGGAGTTCACTACATTTTACCAGAGGACCTGCCTGTCTGTCTGCCTTGACTTTTTATCTGCCCAGCCTTTTCCGAGCTATCTCCTGTCTCTTTTCCCTCTGGATTAGTAACCCTAACTGCCGTTAGGCAGTAAGAAAGATGACCCCAATCTGGCTAATTCCTGCTGATCATGGGCATTGTTTTGGCAGCTAGGGATCTTCCAAAGGGTGATCCAAAGGTCCTCAAAGGTAGAAAGAGGCTTCCTACAATGTTCCATCTGCATCACCATTTGGAGTTTAATGGCTTCCAGGCAAGAAGAAACAAATTTTACAAGGTTAACTATACATGGACAAAACACAAGTAATACAACAAAAGGAGCTATTAAGGGAGAAACCCATGTCCATATACTGTAAATTCCTACAGAGGATAAAAAAGATTGTAACCAACTGGGTCCTGATTTTGTAAAGAGTCAATGATTTTATTATTGTTTTATAACCTGTAAAGTCTCTTTTACTTGGGAGGAAGTGTTAATATGGTAACAATTTTCATTTAATAATACACATGTTCCTCCACATTCCACTGTGAGCATATCCAAAGTTTGAATAATTACCCTGTTGAGCCACATATGTAATGGAGGGTGAAAGAAGGTGCTTACAAGAATCTAGGACAAGTGATGCTAAAAATAGGAAGCAAGTTAGAAGAGGCATTTTGCTTGTTCCTGTGAGGGAGACTTCTAGGGAAGAAAACAGCCCCACAGATGCTCAGGATTAAGGGGTCCTTGACAAAGACGTCCCCGCCTGGGCAGCAAGACCTCATCTCTACAATAAATCAAAAAATCAGCCGGCCGTGATAGCACACCAGTCTGGGCGACAGAGTGAGACTCCAACTCAAAGAAAAATAAAAATAAAAATAAAACAAACGCAGTAAGTATAGGCATAACTATAAGGAGGAAATTCATAGGCAGTAAGTAGTGGCACTTATCTTTTACAATCTTAGTTTGATTCTGTATGACTTTCTGGGTCAGCTGAGGCAACTTCTGAGCTCCAGGCTTTCACTTTAGTGTGATGGATCCACAAGTCTATTCCGGTAACCTTTACCTTCTGTCGAGCCCCACGTTCGGGGGCCAAAACTGATAGGATTTTTCAGGTCAGCCTGGGCTTCGAGAGTGTCAGCCAGCCAAGCCCCAGAGAGGCTCGTCGGGGGGCTGGCCAGTCTAGTCCCTAGAGTGTTGACTCTAATGGGCTGGCAAGCCAGGCCCGGAGAGTGTTGCTGGTTCAGGTAGCCCCCAGGGTATCTCAGCTTCGGAGTCTTGCCTTCTTCCAGCAGCTCTCCTGGTTCAGCCGGCTCCATTGACTGGCAAGTCAGCCTTTGGGGTGCAAGGCTCTTCAGCTCTGACGATCTTCTGCAGCTCTTCAGGTCACGGCTCTTCAGGGTTCAGGTTCTTGTCTCATGCCCAGGAAGAATGAGGGACACAGACAGCCGGAAAGTGAGAAAGCAGGATTTATTGAGAGGTCACAGAAGCTCCCACAGTGGAAAGGGCCCTGAAGGGGTTTCCCCTCTGTTGTTTCTTTTAGTATGGTCACTAAACTCCAATTCAAGATTCTTGGTCAGTTCGTTCTTACATTTTTGCTTCTGACAAAAATCTGTAGTTGATTGTATTGTTTTTTGTTTTTGTTTTGTTTTGTTCTGAAATAGATGTCTTCTTCAAATAGCTTGTTATTCTGGCCCTACAAACTTGTTTTCCTTCAGAGTATCGTCTATTCTGTCAGGCAGTGGAATGGAGGAAGGCGCCAGTCTATGCCAGTCCTAGTAAACTCT